CCCAATAGTTCGTGTTTGTGCAGGATACCTCTGAGGGGGAAGGTTGTCACCACCTTTATGGGGTGACATTGAAAATACGGTCTAAGCTTTCGTGAAGCTACGACTAATGCCAAAGTTAGTTTTCAAGGTGAGGGTACCTGGTTTCGGCATCGATCAAGGTCTTGCTAATAAAGTAAATTGGATATTGCGTACCTTCGTTTTCACGGACCAAGACTGCACTTACTGCAACTTCGGAAACTGTTAGATACACAAGTAGACATTCTCCTGGGTCCGCTTTGACGAGTAGTGGTGGTGAAGATAGATACGCTTTCAGTTTTCTTAGGGCGTCGACACATTCTTCATTCCATTACAGTCCGTGGTCTTTCCTTAGCACATTGAAGAATTTGTGACATCTATCCGAGGACCGTGAAATGAACCTCAACGGGGCGGCTACTCGTCCTGTCAATTTCTGCACCTGCTTTTTGCTGGTCAGTATCTCTGGTATTGCGTCGATGGCCATGATCTGATCCGGATTGACCTCGATACCTCTTTGTGACACTAGGAAACCAAGAAACTTTCCTGAAGTTACGCCGAAGCCACATTTTTCGGAATTTAGTTTCATTCTATATTGCCTTAATATCTCGAAGGCCTCCTTCAGATGGCCGATATGGTCCTCTTTCTTTGTCGACTTTACTAACATGTCATCGATATAAACCTCCATGGTCTTGCCGAGCTGTTTTTTGAATATCTTGGTAACTAGTCTTTGATATGTGGCCCCTGCGGTCTTGAGTCCGAATGGCATTACCTTATAGCAATATGTCCCTCGGTGAGTGATGAAAATTGTCTTTTCTTGATCTTCTTTGGCCATTAGAATTTTGTTATAACCGGAATAGGCATCCAAGAAGCTCAACAGTTCATGCCCCGCTATTGCATCGATGAGCTGGTCGATGTGGGGCAACGGAAAGGAGTCCTTTGGGCATGCTTTGTTCAGATTGGTGAAGTTGACACACATCCACCATTTCCCGGTCTTCTTTTTGACCATAACCACATTGGCGACCCATTGGGGGTATTTCAACTCTTTGATGGAACTGTTAGCGAGCAATTTATCAACCTCCTTGCTGACCGCCTCATTGATGGTGGCATTGAACTCTCTCCTTATTTGTCGTATCGGTGGATGAAGGGGATCGACATTCAGCCTATGTATGGCGATCTCCCTTGGGATTCCTGGAATATCTGAGTGGGAAAAGACAAATAAATCGGCGTTGTTAGTTAAAAACTCACGATATTTACCTGGTTCTGAGAGGTTATGTTCAATATAAGCCTTTTTGTGTTGTGGATATTGTCCAATTGGACGGGATCGAGTTCCTCTACAGTTTCCTTGCAAGCTTCTACGATGTCCGGGTCTTTGATGACTTCTACTTGTACGTCGGGTTTGGTTCCCGGCATGGCTGATTGCTATGTCTCCGCACTTTCCCCTTTTAGTTGTTTGGTGTGTGTGCAATCTTGGGCAATTCGGTAGCATTCTTGGGTGGTGCGTGGCTCGCCTCGGATGCTGAATATCCCCCATGAGGTGGGAAATTTGATTACTTGGTAAAAACTTGATGGGATGGCCTGCATGGCGTGTATCCATGGACGCCCTATGATGGCGTTGTAGGTTGTTTCCTGATTTATGACGTGGAATGTTGTTTCTAGGGTGACCCCTCCTGCCAGGACGGGTAGCACTATTTCTCCAGATGTTCGCTCCACTGCATTATCAAAACATGTTAGTGTTATGCAATGTTGTATTATTTTATCTTCGAGTCTCATTTGCACGAGAACTCGTGGGTGAACAATACACACGCCGCTTCCGTCGTACACCATTATTCTTTTTACATCGGTATCCGCGATGCGTAAAGTTATAACCAAAGCATTATAGTGAGGGAAATACAAACTGTCGGTATCCGACTTATCAAAGATGATACTGTCTTCGAGGTCGTTATACCATTCGTGGGCAACTGTCCGTTTGAGTTTATGTGTGGTGGTGAATTTCACATAGTTGATTATCATATCGTCACCACCTCCAATGATCATGTGCATGGTACGAGCCGGTGATGGTGGCTTTGGAGGTCCTTGAGGTTAGTCGCGCCCACGAGCAAAGTTGGCCCGTCCTTTATCGCTCAGCAGTTCTTTCAGGCATCCCTGGTTTAACATCCTCACTATTTCTTGTCGTAGACCTATGCAGTCTTCGATCTTATGTCCTCTCTCCTAGTGGAATTCACACAGGACGTTCGACCTTTTAGTGCTTGGATCCGATTTCATCTTTTGCGGCCACTGCACCTTCGTGCCAAGCTTTTCTAGTGCGTATACTATCTCTGAAGGGGAAACACAAAAATTATGAGCAGCTAGCAATGAAGGCATACCTCTTTCATTTCAGAGGGGTGTGTTGTGTCGGGGCGTGACATCCGCATGTCGTGGAGGAGGCGGATTGGGTGTTCGTATATAAGGCTAATGCCTTTCTCGATTGAAACATGGCAGTTGATCCCTTCGTCCGTCGTTGCGTCAATCTCTCCTTGTCTTGGTCTGGACTGATGTTAATAGCTGGAGCGGCCCGTTCAGGTCATCCTCGTCTGCCCTCACTTCGGTGCAATAGGCGTTGTGGATTTCTTCCCACGTTGTAGGGGGTACTTCATGAGTCTACTGAGTAGTTTCTTGGTCGCTTTTGACCCGTTTTTGTTTAACACATTTTGAAAGGCTACTACTGCCATCCCTTCTGACACGTTCGGTAGGTTCATCCTTACTCTGTTGAATGGGCTAGGAAATCCCAAAGTCCCTCGCCCATCATTTGCCTGATGCGAAGATATCATTGACCCTAGCCTCGGCCTTTTTTCGCTCCCGTATAAGCGGTGGCGAACTTATCTGCCATCTCTTCGAACGTCGATATCGATCGTGCTGGTAGTTGGGAATACCATGTCAACGCTCCCCCCATCAGAGTTTTGCCGAACTTTTTCAGCAGCACAGACGGTACCTGTTCTTCAGATATATCGTTACCTTTTACTACGGTAACGTAGTAGATTAAGTGATCTTCCGGGTCCGTGATCCTCCGGGTCCGTGATCCTATCTGTATATTTTCAAATATGGCAGCATTTTGAAGGTCTTTGGAATAGAATGGGGAGCTTCCCCCTCGCTGTATGGCTGTTCGACGAATCGGCCCACATCGCATTTTGGTAATAACTTTGGAGCGCCTGATATTTTATCAACCCTCTCCTGATGTTTCTTCATCTGGTCGCGGAGTGTTTTGTTCTCAATTTCCATCTCTTCCATTTTCTTTAAGATGGTCGTGAGTGTGTTGTTGCCTGTATCAGCAACAGTACGGGTGTTACCTGTTCGTGTGGCATTTGGCTCATCGGCAGCAGCTACGGTTTCCGTGGGCAGCGCGTCTTCAATACCTCCCTGAATGGGTTTCTCGAGCATATTGCTCAAGAACTCGTTAACCATTCTTCTAGTAGCCTTTTGACAGCCGGTGGCGCTACTCCTGCTGCGGATGTTGAGGTTTCCCTCTCGCGCAAGATCGTTAGATCCCCGTGCCGAGGAGGTGATATCTCCCCCTCAGGTGTAACACTTGGTATTGCATTCTCATTGTCTTCTCATCCGGCTTCGTTGAGGGAATTCAGGAGGTGTTTGTGACACCCTCTATTGCCTTTAGCCTCGCTTCTCCCTTTCCCGCCATCGTTGGCTTTTATGGAGCTGAAGAAAGGTAATTATTTCTTTCACTCTAGATGAAAACTACGATTTCAGCTATAGAAATCCCCACAGGTGGCGCCAAATTATTTGACTCAAAAGATATTATAACCCTTTTGAAAAAATCAATCAAAGATAAAGGGGTAAATCTTAGCTGAGGATAATAATCTCTAGAAAGATTGATAAATAAGGAGAAGATCGGTCACGAAGTTTCTTTTCATTCATAAAATAGTAATGTCTCCAGAGTGTTGATTACCAGTTACAAGGTTATTGTCCTCCTTTTATACTAAGAGAGAAATTCTTCTAAACTGTAAAAGACAAAATACAAGGAATATTCGAAGGAATATTCCCAATGACCCCTGATGGTCATACATTATTACAAGGGTCGTCCCTCTCAGGGCGTCAATTCGAGAAGACTCCGTCAATTGTCGTACTCGTCGTCGGTCGTGGTCGGTCAAATTTGGATCCATACATATTCCAGGGTTGTGATCGATTCACCAATCCTATTGTGTTCTAGTTAACTCTCTCTCATACAATTCACTCATGGTTGTNAATCGAGGTTAAGTCAACGTTAAACAACAATATTCATGGCTAAATCACAACCCCAGAACAATGGATTTTTTAGCCACTCATGATACTAGCAAACAATTGCATAAGTTTTGAATAATTGAAAATACTAGAAAAGATGAAGAAATATGAGATGTTCTTGCTCCTGGATATTTCTTGTGTGTATTTTTCCTCCAAAGTGGCGCCTCTCCCTTCAAAAATAGGCTTAGTCTTTCTTTTATACGTGTTGGGTAGGTCTAGGGCCGAATAAACCGTGTCCGGGCAAAATAGGACAAAATCACGTCAACGGCGCCCTGGGTAGCGCCAGGCGCCCACCAGGGCGCCGCCTCAAACTTCGATTCTGCCTCCAGCGCCACAGGTGGCGTAAGGCGCTGCATGTGGCGCCCAAATGCTCAATTCGTCCGGTTTTACTCGTTTTGGCTCAAATCTTGCGCGTTTCGCCCCCAATTGCTCCCGAATCATTCCTACCCATAAAAACACTTCAAATTAATATAAATCATAACATTTAACATCCCAACTTCACGAAATAAAAGTAAAATATGAGGCGATATACATAGAAATATATATACTTTAAGCTAAACATCACCCATATAATTGCAAATTACAAGCAAACAATTTTGTGCACTTGTATTCACCAATCAGTAGTTTAAAACTAGGATAGTGCCATAGTTAAAAGAGAACGTTATTGATTTAAATATGATGGGATTCGAAGCTTTAAAATGGTTGCATAATTTTTTGTTATTACATCCCTCACTCTTACCAAAACACAAGAAGAAGAAAAAGCAAGACACAAATCACATTGTCTCGAGACTCAACCTTCCTCGCTGAAACACACGAGATTTGCCAATTTCTTCAATTCTCCATTTTCTATCGTTAATAAGAAAATCAAATGCCGATCGTTAGTTCAAAATCATGGATCCTTCATGGTCTAGCTGCGGGAGCTGCAATGGCCGCGGCTCTCGGGGCTCGAGCGTATCTTGGCCGATCCGGCAAGTTTCGGAGCCGGGTCATTGGCATTATACCAGCCCGTTTTGCTTCCACTCGCTTCCAGGGTAAACCCCTCGCTCATATCTTGGGCAAGCCCATGATCCAGGTATTTTCTAAGAACTCTCATTCTTTTTACCGTCTGTTCAGCTTATAAAATTGCGTCATTTGTTAATTGAAAAGAGATTGTTGAAATAGAGCATAAACAACAAGCCACAAATTTCAAAATAACCTTCAGCTTGTACCGAATAATGTAATTACTGATTTTTTAGGAAACTGCATATTATATACTCCCTAGTACCCCATTTGTTTGAAATTATTTACCTCTGGTGTAGCTTTAATCAGGATGTACTATCGTACTCGTCATCTCGAAAGGAGTTGACAGTTGACACCCTCACCAAATTCAAATTCTTAATTGCAGAGAACATGGGAAAGGGCAAAACTTGCTGCTACCTTGGATCACGTTGGTACGTCTCCATTTGACCTAACTTGACTACTTTCCTATAACCCCAACCACAACCGCCGACAAAGAAAAATAGGAAAGAAACGAGAGAATGAAAAAAGAGAAGCAATAGTGGGTGTAGTGTAGTTGCTGATATGTTTGCATTGTTTAACAGTTGTGGCAACAGATGATGAAAAGATAGCTGCGTGCTGTCAAGGTTTTGGTGCTGAAGTAATAATGACTTCTGAATCATGTAGAAATGGTAAACATAACATCCACTTGCTTTATTGATCCTAATTTTGCTACTTCTGGGAAATTTCAGTGTTTGAAATTGCTAATGCTCAGTTGTTAATTTGAAGGAACCGAGCGTTGTAATGAAGCTCTTCAAAAGCTTGCAAAGAAGTATGACATTGTCGTTAACATTCAAGGAGATGAACCACTTATTGAACCTGAGATAATAGATTGCATAGTCAAAGCTCTGCAGGTAAGTTCCTTCTTTTTTTTTTTCTTTTCCTGATGCTAATATGAATTGCGGTTGAACTTTTTAAAGTTAACTCTGACAAAAGGTACTTAAACTATCATAAATGAGAGGCTTGTATTGTTGTTGTACAACAAGAAGAAGCCCAGTATAAACAATTATTCTAATATGGTTGTGGCTTATCATACTCATACCATCTAAAACTTTATGTATTTAGACGTGTATTCTGGATATTACACTGTTAATGTTAATAAATTGATTAGTTGTTGTTTCAAAGAGGGAAGGGATTAAACTAATGTTATGCTCAAAGTAATATAAAATTTAGTTGCGGCCAGTTATCAGAAAAGAGTGGATAAGCTGACATGGACTGTGGACCCACAAATGAATGGTTGAACACAAAGTTTTTTCACAAAGTGAAGATATAAACATTTTGGACCCTGTAGTAACTATTATCTTCATCATATATTAACTTAGTATGATGGGGGAGATTTAGAGAAGTTAAAGTTTGAATAGGTCCTTAATGATGTGTTTTGGTGTTATATCTTGAATTTTAGTGAGATTCTTTGAGGAAGAGTAATAATTTCCAAGGTAGGCAAATCACCCCCAAAAAAAGTAACGAAAGATATCAGTTTAAGGTCAATATAAACTGCTTAGTCTAGTTTAAATCATTTGACTTGGTACAGTTTGCCATTTATGAAAATATGTTAATTTTTTGGGGGAATGCGCAAAGCTGATTGAGATCAGACTTCAGAGAAAGGGAAAAAAAATAACTATAGAGTAATGTGAGAGCTAGCCCTTGCGAGTGAAGCCAAAATTGCAAAAGGCTTTAGCTACTGCATGGTCTAATATTACCATCAATTCACGGTAGCCCTAAATCTGCCTCCTAATTGACTTCATGATTATTTTACATAAATATATGTATGAGCAGATTATCTACGTTTGAGACAATCAATTTCTTGTTATCATCTCTTGGGATGACGGGTACAGGGTAGTTAATTGCCACAAAACCTGCATTATGTGTAGTCATATATCATACTTATATTGTCAGCATATGAGGAAAGGAGTTTAGCTTTTACGAGAGTTGTAATGTAATTTCATCTGCTCACAACTTTCTTTCTGCCTCTATATTGCCAGTAGTATAACTTTATCATAAAATTACCAAAGGATTGCTCTGTATTTGTGCAGGCTGCACCAGACGCGGTCTTTAGCACTGCTGTGACGTCTTTGAAACCTGAGGATGCATTTGATCCAAATCGTGTTAAATGTATGGTTGATAATCGTGGTTATGCAATCTATTTTTCCCGGGGATTGATCCCTTATAACAAGTTAGTCATGATTCTCTTTAAAATCTATTGCGTTGGTATTTCTTACCTACTTGGTGATAAAACCTGATCACTTTTGTGCAAACTTTCAGGTCTGGCAAGGTTAATCCTCAGTTTCCTTACTTGCTGCACCTTGGAATTCAGGTATTGAGTTATACATCTATAGTGCAACTATCATTAGTTTCTCTGGCAAAATCTTGTATGGCTGAGCAATTGTTTTTCTCTTATTTCATATTCAGAGCTATGATTCGAAGTTCCTGAAAATATATCCAGAATTGGAACCTACACCATTGCAACTTGAAGAAGATCTTGAACAGTTGAAGGTCCTTGAGAATGGATACAAGATGAAGGTACCAAATCTGCATGCTTGACTCGTTTGTTTACTCGCGCTTTGATTATACAATTGGAGACTCTCGTCAAGTTATACCTTTGTATGCTAATTGTTTGTGTATGAATATTGTGGGGAAACAGTTCAAAGAAAAAAGAAAAGTTTTTCTCCTATGATACAAAATGCTTTAGACGGTAAAAACTTACCCGCACCTGATATTGATACCAAATCAATGAATGCAAGACGTGTGTCTTTCGTATACACATTTCTCACTTAACTATGGTTAACGTGATATTGATTCTCACTTTAATTTTTAACTGCTAAAGTTAAATTGCTTGTATAAACAGCAGATGCGAGAAAGTATTTACCATATGTGGGCAGAAGAATTATAGTCTTTTGGATGTAACTATAATTTAACAAAAACAAAAAAGAGAAACTGAGAAGAAAAATCGTCTATAAGGTTAATCAGTTTGCATTGGTGTCCTGCCTTGTTGCAGCCTTTCATTTATTTGCACATCTGATTTTCCTAGTTGGTTTGCTCCTCTTGTTCTGATTATCTATCGAGTGTATTTATTTAGTGGATGGATCTCGTTCTGTGTGCAGGTGATAAAAGTTGACCATGAAACTCATGGTGTTGACACTCCGGAAGACATAGACAAGATAGAGCGGTTCATGCGGGAGAGGAACTTGTCTTAGAGCAGAGTAAGTTTATATTGGATGACTTTGGTGTTGTATAGAGCTATAGATTTGAGCTTTCTGGAGGCCGTTCTTAATTGGAATTAATGCACAATTGATGTTACTGAATTATACATGTGAAGATGAAAGAACAATCCTGCAAATAGTTCATATTTTGGCGTTTTTGATGTATATTGTCTTCAACCTTACTGGGGAGTAGGGACTAGTCCATCGATTTGCTAGGTTATGTGTTTCTTATTCTTTCAGTGGTGGAATACTGGAATTTGGGTTGTCTACAAGGCACCCCTCTGTCTGTGCTTAACACTACATTGCGTGGAAGCGCTTTAGAGGTACAAGCTGACTGTTTACAGATTTTTTCCTAGGGTGTGAATAAGATATTCTGTTTTGCACTGGTAGCATCTGAGTTTACTTTGGATTTTCTTTGTTGTCGCCAGTATGTAAAGTTAAATGGATTGAGTTGGTAATGATAGTCGGGCATTGGGTTGGACATGGTTGCAGGTTAAACTAGCTTGTTGACTAGTTTGGCTCCTGGAATGAAACTGCTTCCATTTTAATAATGGGTAATACTAGCTTGGTATAAGATTCAATTTATAAGAAACCAGAACAGATTAGTGCTACTAGCAATATTTATAATTTTGATTGTTCAATAGAGGCACTGAAAATGTTTCATAATTGGTGGAAGATAAATCGATGGAGTCATCATAACAATATGAGGACGAGTGACTTTGGACTCTTAAAAAGCAAAATAAACAACATGTGGAAAAACTGAAGTTTCCATTCACCATGGAGTCTAGACTGCTCTAGAATTAAAGAGAGAGAAACAAAGTAAGAACAGTGTTCATTTCAAAAAAAAAAGTAAGAACAGTGTGCTACATGTACTTTTTTCTTAGAGAAATGTCAATGTTATCTCATGTACATTAATGGCTTTGTAAAAAAAGCTCCAAAAGAAACTACGCAGCTAGTATATCTGACTGTTGTTGCGCAACTAACCGCCGACAGCAGCTAGCAGAAAATGAATCAGCGGGCAGCAGGTGTTGGTACTGATTCCTTGATCAACTGAACCTCTGTCTTGAAAAGAAGGAAGGATAGCGATTCCAGTGAAAAATACACAAACCCACCGGGTGAGTGAGTCACAAACGATCCGAAACTCTTTCCCACCACACAGTGCCACGCTGGTCCGTATACCGAATCAAACTCCTAAAACCACAATGTGAAAAAAAAAAATTCAAAATGTTTGAACTCGAATTTGAAACTAAAGGGGAACAAGAGCTAAAGAGATAGTGAAGTAGTCCTACCTTTTTGAGGAAGCGAGCAAGGAGGGTGGGGTTAGGACGGTGAGGGGAGGGGTGGAGGAGGAGAGTTCTGGTGTAACGAAGGGCGTGTTCTTGCATGGTGAAAGGCATGTCAGCTGATCTGAGTCGCACGTTGAGGCTGATGGCGAGAGCGGCAAGCTTCACTTCTTCTTCTATCGACATAGACTTGCCATTGTCGTTGCTCTTAGGCCTCTGGCGCCGGGAAAGAGTAGAAGAAGAAGAAGAAGAGTGCATGGGCATTAGGAGTTTTTGTTTTGAGGAAAGAACTTTGCTGCTGTTGTTTCCAATTTTGATTTGGGCAGAATTTCTCTGTAGTCAATCAGGAAAAGTAGATGAGTTGAAACTTTTGACCATTCAGACAAACAGACTGACCCAGCCACAGGGAGTTGGCGGGTACGTTTGAAGTTCTATTTGACCTACTACCCAATATAGTACTGTATTTATTACTAGTAAATAAATCCTGTCTTTTTTGTTTTTTAATTATTCCATTATATTTACCAACATCACGAATTAATTTTCTATCTATAGCACTTTAAGGCACAAGTCTAACCAGGACTCTTTTTTATATACATTGAGATTCGGGCCAAGTGAATCCCCAAGTATTTTTTATTTTATACGAACATTTAGAAATTATAAAATGTGTAAGTCGTAATATCTATACTTAAGTGTATTCTAAAAGTTGATATTGATATAATAAAGGAAAATTTTAAAATTTGATAACAGTACTATATAAAATGAGAGGAGTATTAATTCTTCCCGTTGTGGAAGGCGTGGAAGTGGCGACATAAGGGAGAAAAGGCGGAGCGTGGAGGCAGGGAAATGAGTCATGACAAAATAATAATGGCCA